TGTGATCAGCAGACAGGGCGCAGGTGGGTGCCTCCTCCGTTCTCCCTCCTCATCAGCTTGGTGACATTTACTGAATGTTTGGTCTCTTCGCTTCGTGGGTTAACTCGTCTGAAACCTCCATGCCACGTGAAGTCGGTGTGGTCCCATCCGTCTTCACAGGTGACCAAACTGAGACAGTGTAAAGGAAGTAATCCACTTAGGGTCACTTGGCAAGTGGCATAGGGTGACGCTTCAGACTCAGGCCTCCTGGTTCCAACCTGGTGCTCTTAGCCAGTACCCTCTCCTCTTTCTAGATACAGAAATTCTTTTCCTCACCGCCCGAACTTTAAAAATACACCCCACCACACGTAGTAAAACTCTCGCACGTTCTAGAAAAAGGCACTCCCGTTCTATCCAAAGTCACGTCGAGGCGGGGCCCCCAGAGGCGCGGCGGGCAGAGCAGGGAGATTATGGCGGTGCCGTCCCCCGCTTCCCTTTGTTTCTACGTCTCGTGTTCTTCTGGTTTGCCCGTGCTGCTCAGAAGCATTTTCTGGAGCCCCGCTCCTCCAGTTTGTGTGTTTTCCCAGACCCATCCGGTTCCTCTGGATCCTAAGGTCACTTCTGTTCTTTAGACGATCTTAGTTCTGTGTTCCGGTTCCCCACAGTACTGCCCGGGACGGCTGTGGAGTCCCTCCACTGGACGGGCGTAGCAATAGCCTTGGCGTTCCTGATTACTTCCCTTTTCTCACCCCCTGAGAAGGTATACGTTTTGTGTTCCCTTTTGAACATCAACTGTCCTAAAATTCAAATGTAAGGAGACTTCTTTTTTTTCTTTTTTGTTAAAAAGTATTTGTTTTGAGAGAGCGAGAGCACGAGTAGGGGGAGGGGCAGAGAGGAGAGAGAGAGAGAATCCGCACCGACAGCTTGGAGCCTGACATGGGGCTCGATCTAACGAACTGTGAGCCAAGATCGAGAGTCAGATGTTCAACCCCCTGAGCCACCCAGGCGCCCTCAGATACAAGGAGACTTCTGCCCTACCTTGAGTAACAGGAGCCAAATTTACCTCCTGCCTGCACGACTAAACACAGTCTGATCAAAAGTATGAGGCAGTGATGCTCGGATGTCAGCCCGCGTTCCCTGAAAGAGGGAAGACAAACAGGTGACCCCTGCAGGGGCCCCAGCTCCCTTTTTGGAGGAACTTCCAAATCGTTCCAAAGACGAGCCGCGGGGTCGGCAAGGGTCGTGCTGGCAGAGCCCCTGATTAGAGCCGGGAGGCCACGGAGGCCAAGGCCCTTCAGTCCAGAGGACAGAATCACAGAGAGGGGAGCGCTGTGTGGACAGCGAGGACAGAACCAAATGAAAGGAGCCAGGCACCCGTCGCGGCAGCCCACACACAGCCATGGGTTCTTCACGGTCCCGTGGGCCGGAGCAGGAAAAGCCGACAACCTGTGGAATGGCAGGAAGGGCCCTGCCTCATTAGCACAGCAAACGTAGGCCTGCCCTTATCCTGGCTCCGCTCCCTTCTAAGGCTTGAAAGCAGGCTCTTCTCTAGTTCCTATTACACGTACATTACCTCTTTTGTAACTGTCCCACAACTCTTTGGGTCTTCTCGTCTTCTTCATCCTTTTTCTCTCTGTGTCATACCCTTGGAGGTTTTTATTGACCTTTCTCCAAGCTCACGGATGGCTTCCTCGGCCATGCCCAGTCTCCCGACGAGCAGGACAGAAGCTGCCTTCTTCTGTGTTACGTTGTTATGTGTCTCTAGCGTCTCCTCTTGATTCTTTTTTTTTTTTTAATTTTTTTAACGTTTATTTCTTTTTGAGACAGAGAGAGACAGAGTATGAACAGGGGAGGGTCAGAGAGAGAGGGAGACACAGAATCTGAAACAGGCTCCAGGCTCCGAGCTGTCAGCACAGAGCCCGACGCGGGGCTCGAACTCACGGACCGTGAGATCGTGACCTGAGCTGAAGTCGGCCGCCCAACCGACTGAGCCACCCAGGCGCCCCTCCTCTTGATTCTTTTTTAGGACTTCCCTCTGGCTGTTTACACGACCCATGAATCTTGTGTATTTCCCTCGACCCCTTGGCATGTCAATCATCGCCGTTCTGAATTCTCAATCTGGTTATTCTAACGTCTCCAATGTACCTGAAGGTTTGTTCTGTTTCTTCAGGCTGAAGCCTTCGTCTTTGATCGTGACTTGAAATTGTTTGCAGAAAGTTGGGTATGATTTACTCACTGGCTACGAGTTAGTGAGGCTTTGTTTGCTTTTATAGTGGCTGCGGTAGCAGAGGCCAAACTTTTTCTTTTCTTTTTTTCCTTTTCTGTCTCCCATGTTGTGTTTGGGTTTCCCTGGAGACTTCTACTTAATAAGGTGTGAGATGTGCAGTTTTTCAGTTGTCTTCTCCTGTTATTTTGCGGGATCCCCACTTGCCCTGGTGGTGAGGGTGTAGGGGAGGGATGCCTTCTGTAGTCCTGTGATCGGGTCTCAGTCTGTTATGGAGCCTGTGCCCCTGGGCTCTGACTTTCACAAGTGCTTTTCAGTTCCCCTTTTCTGCTTTCATGAGACAGGGGGATTGGGCTGCATATCTCTTTTCTTCTAGGTAAGTTAGGCTCTGGTAAGATCGTTTCTTTTGAGGCCAGCCTTATTAAGAATAACACAGTGCCCTGGTGTATTTCAAAATGCCAATTTTTTACTCCCCCCCCCCCCCCCCCCCCCCCCCCCCCCGCTGGAAGCATTGGGAGAATTTTTCTCCATCTTGTGAGAACCTGGTAGGGCTCCCAGAGGTAAAAACTCATAAAAGTGTGGGGATCCTCCCTTAAACCGAGCCTCCCTAGAGTTTTGAATTCTCCGATTTGTCCACACTGAGCCTCCAGCAATTTGTCAATTGTAGTCTAAATTTTCCTCCTTGGTGCTAGTCTATATATACTGGAGAATTCTCTGAACTGTGATTCTCTGTAGCAGACAAGCATCTTTATAATTTGGGGGGCAGCAGTTTGTTCTGTGACCTCAATTCTCTGCTGGACACAAGAAGAGTTGTTGATGTTTAGTTGGTTGAGCATTTTTCTTGTCTTCCGGATGGAGCGATGCCTTCCGGGCTCCTTACGTGCCGGACCAGACACCGGAAACCTCCATTATTTCCTGCTTTTACAACACATTTTCTCCCCTGTTTCCATGATGTCCCTTCTTTCAGTGCCCTGACAGCTCTGACTTTTCTTCTCTGTCTTCCTTTGCGTCTCTTCATCTGGAAGATCCGCTGCTGGGCCCCTTCCCCAGTGACTGCTCTTCTCCCACAGCTCTGACACCCGAGCAAGTCTCAGTTTCAACATCCTGAGCATCTGACACCTTATGGGCACTTCACAATCAGTGTCTCCAGAATTGAATTTGCTCTCTGCGAATCCATCGTCCTTCTCCCCCGACTGCACCCCACCCTCCTTTCTTCTCCCACAAACCTACCCACACTCCCTTCTTTCTTTCTTTGTGCCTGGCGCTCTGATTCGTGACCCTGCCATCCCATCCATGCATTTCCTCACGCTGGCACCCTGTGTGTTATTCTAGACCTTCCTTTCTCGCTCACACAGCCCCGAACGTTTTCATCGCCCAGCAAAAACAAATTGAAAACTGCCTCTTCATCCTTGCCCCACCGCTTTTGCTTATATTCGGACCCTAGTTTACCGTCTTTTCTCTCTGCCGCTCCTGCATTCCTCCCGCCACGGTGTCCACCTGGCAGTGTTCCAGAAAGCATCGCATTGCCTCTCTGTTGCCTGCAGAGGCAGTCTCCTGTTTCCCATTCTGTAAGCAGTTCACTGAGAGTATGGACATACAGCACTAGAAATTCTGTTTAGGTTTATTTTTCTTTATTTCAGCTTGTAAGAATGGATCTTTTTTTGTCTTGGAATGTAGTAGAACAACAGCACGCACATGTGATTTACAAATATACATATATCAAGGTTGAATACTCAGGACTTCTTTTAGCGATTGGGGTACGTGATAAAAGGTTGAGGGACGCTGTGCGTACAACGTAAGATCCCAACCGCTCAGGTTTACGCGTGAGGCCCTCAGTTCTCTGGACGCTGCCCACGTGTGCCTCCCTCTCCCTTCCCGTTTATCCCCGGCGTCCTGAACTCGCTCCTGATTAGCCACCTGGTGTAGAAGTTACCAGGTTGTCTCATGACTTCATACTGTGGCTTCTCCCTGGAATTTCTTTATTACTCGACCCTGCCCTTAATCCCCATCCGCACCCCAGCCAGCGGACTCCCGTTTCTGAATTCCTTTCTGTGACCCCTTCCTGTCTCTACGCTGCCCTCCCCAAGTGAAGTCATCACCCCTCTTGCTGTCCCGCTGTCTGGGTCGTTCACTCAGCCCTCCCGCAGTACCTCTAGCACCTACTCTGTGCTGCCCCAGGCCGGGAAGACCAGGGTGGTCCCTCCACCTGTCTGCCTCCTTCACAGTGAGCTCCTTACAGGCACCCCCCCCCCGCCCCCCATTCCTTACCTCCAGCATCTAGCAGCTGTCTCGGCAGCCTGCACAAGCGTGTGAATCAGTGAGTGGGGGCACTAGGCTGCCGACGTACCTTTCACCAGCGAGAGTCTATTTTTATGAAAAATCGGTCAGGAACTACGTTGTATATTTGTGGATTTCTGAAGCCAAAATCTCCCTTGTGGTATAATTTACACTTGCTCACTAAATCCGAGCCCCCATTTAGTAGTAAGCGTAAGTTTGCGTCTGTTTTCCATGTAAGTTTGTGTATATATATGTTTTTATTTTAATTATTTTTTATTGAAGTGCAGTTGACACGCAAGAGCTCGGGTAGTTTCGGGGCACAGCATAGTGATTTGACAAGTTATGCTATGCTCATCACAACTCCAGCTACCTTCTGTCACCATAAGTACATATTTTGTTAACTCCACGGAGGGGACACAGAACAAGCACCTCTTCTTATTCTGGACCATTCTTTCCAGCTGTGGTCGTAAAGAAACTGCAGTAAACAAAAATACCATTGAACCTCTTTTCTTTCTTTCAGGTACAATATCGAGCCCAGTTTGTATTGTCCATTTTTCTCCCTTGGAGCGTGCATGGAAGGCCTCAACACTTTGTTTGGCAGACTGTTAGGGATTACGTTGTATGCCGAGCAGCCCGCGAAAGGAGAGGTGTGGTGCGAGGGCGTCCGCAAACTGGTAAGCGTGCGGGGTCGCCCCGCGTGTCTCTCGGGCCTGGTAGGGAGCCTCTGGCAGTTCCACGTTCAAGTGAGCCTTGCCCTCGCAGAGCCTGTCTCCCCTTATTTCCGTTTCACCAGAAAATCCAGATCACCACTTCCGACTTGGGACACTGCACAAAGCACCAGTTTTCTCTAAAATCGGTTGTTGCCTCGGATCGATAGACACAGAGCTGCGAAGCGTAGGAACTTGTTGGAACGTTGAGCCTTCTTACGTTGACCGATTCTGGTTCAAGGGACATTTGTCATTACTTGCCACGTTCCTGCACTGCTCGGTGTCGCTTTCGGTTAATTCCAGAATCCACGGCCTCTGTCACTTGTACTTTTTTCCCCAACCCCCTTCCCATCTTGTGGGAGCAATTATATATATATATATATATATATATATAATTTGCATAATATATTGATTTTTCTCCCGTGCTCTGGTTTGACTTCTTTGATAATAACTTCGAGCCTGGTGTCCACCCTTCTCCAGTTAGGGCCCCCTGTATTTGAGACGTGAATATGTTTATTTTTTCCTCTTTTTAAGATTATGAGGCGGTATTGACTTATCTGTCTGTCAGAAAGGCTCTGTGTTGTTAGGCCGTTTGACTTCCTGCCTGTGTGCGTCCCACACTTGCTCCCTTCCCTGTATGTGGAGAGAAGGACGCCACCTCAGGGGCTCCCGGCTGCCTTCCGGGAGATAGGCGCGGTGACGGAAGCGAAAGGGTCGGGTAGGAGCACGCTTCATCACCGCCCGAACTACCTGTTTGTGGAGTGCGTCCTTCACAGAGTGGCGGAGGCCGGTCAAGTGCGGAGATAGAGTAAAAGAAAAACTGGTAACAGGAGTGAAAGGACAAAATGCAAGGAGAAGGTTGGGAGGCGTAAAGCTGAGGTTCCCCGTGGCAGAACCCTCAAGTTGTGACAAGGCGGACGAGGCGAGCTGGAGGCCAGCTGTCGAGTTCTCCACAGGCCGTGCGTCTTTTACAGGCCCAGTTGGAGGGAGGGGCATAAAGGACATGACTGGTCTTCAGCTGAAGCCAGGAGCCAGCTTTTGTTGTGTCTGGATTCAGGGGTTAACATTTGGGGGCATAAATGCTCATCGTGAGATGGAGGTCTAACGCTGTCCAGCCAGAGCTTACCCCCAAGTGTATGGGGAGGTTGTGGACAGTCTGAAGAGCGGGGTTTGGTGGCCGTGGCGTAGGGTGCTGGCGGTCTGGATGAAGGGCTCGAACAAGGAGGTGTCCTCTCCTGACAGAATCCCCAGATCAAAATCCTCTGAGAGAGGAGGAGAAAACGGAATCTGGTTTGAGATGATGCGGGATGTGCGATGTAACCGAGTGGACGTGGTCACAGCGATGGGGGTTTTATATATGGATTCTTATTAGGGATGTTTTTCCACTGTTAGTTTCTGATTCACCCCTAAATGTACTTTTTTTCCAGGCTGTGGTTCATGAATCCGAAGGATTGTTGGGGTACATTTACTGTGATTTTTTTCAGCGAGCGGGCAAGCCACATCAGGTGATGCTTTTTTTATAAACTCATTTCTCTGGAAGGGACTGACAGTTCTTTTGTGTCACTGTGCGCTCCGCATCTCACCTTTCTCCTTCCCTAACATTTAGAACACATTTCAGTGTTGTACTTCCCTAGCATTTAGAAGACATTAACGGTAGCTACTGAGTATATAAAAATTTTTTTTTAACGTTTTTATTTATTTTTGAGACACAGACAGAGCATGAACGGGGGAGGGGCAGAGAGAGAGGGAGACACAGAATCGGAAGCAGGCTCCAGGCTCTGAGCCGTCAGCACAGAGCCCGATGCGGGGCTCGAACTCATGGACCATGAGATCGTGACCCGAGCTGAAGTCAGACGCTTAACCGACTGAGCCACCCAGGTGCCCTGCTACTGAGTATATAAAT